CATCGCAGGCTGGTGGGTGAGCCAGGACCTGGGAGCAGTTTTGTTTCTTACCCTGGTGAGGCTCTAACAAGGGTTACAAGGATGGGCAGTGATAAGAGCAGGGGACTTGCATCAGAGGAAGTTGCCACTTTCTGCTTCAAGCAGTTAGGCAGGAAACAACGCAGTTGCTTTTTTTACCCCTCCAGTTGTGCATTTGCCTAAGCAGAGCAAAACACACCCACTGTTAACATCATGGACAACTATAGGTGAAAAATCCGTTGGAAATGGTTTGCAGAAATTCAAATGCTGAACTAGGTATGAGTGCTGTAGGACAGAGAAAAGCTCCCACAGAGAAGTCAGGAATAAGCCTTGAACAGGCCAACTTCAGGTCACGGGGATGAAAAAAAACCATCACACCAATCACAAGCAGCTACAGGGAACAAAATTGTCTACTACCTGCTCTTCTGGTGTCCAAACGCAACTGGGGAAATGTAAAATTACTTAAAGAATTACCTGGCAAAGCACCAGACAGACAATTGGAGTTTCCACAGATTTTAGGCAGTCCCCAAGTCATCTTCACTACTTGTCAAAGCCCCTAAGCTTTGCTGCTGTTTGGCTGCAGCTGGGGGCCTGAAGTTACAATGTGCAGGAGGTCAGGGCTCCTTGAACAGAAGCAGGAACTGTGATCCCACAAGCAGGGCCCCAGACAGACAAGCACAGAAGACATGTGAAATCAGGGGATCACATCAGCTGCTAGGATCCAAGCAGAACCGGTCTCCCAGCCTGAACCATCCTCACCTTGAAGGTTTGTAACACTCCCTGCAGCGGAGCACAAACCTCCTCTGACCTGTCAGCAAGCAAGAATTATCAGAGCTACTTGAGGTATCCAAGTTGAAGCAGGCAGTGGAACCATGACCTAAACAGCCCATTTCCAGGATTTTCCTCATCTTCACTGAACCCTGGAACTGTTATCAAAGTAACTGAGCACTCTGGGAAGCCTGGCGTATCTGCACATAGGCGGGGAACCTCGGGCAGAAAGCGAGCCACAGCAGCAGAACAGGAGTTGGAAAAGCTGCTGTGGTCAGCCATGACCGGGGTTGCTAGGTTAGTCCAGTATCACTGGCCAGTTCCTCAAAGGCAAGCACGCATGCAGGCAGCCGCTCATCTGGGTGTCTTTGCACGATGGCAGTAAACAACTTGGGCTGTGGCCAGATGTGTCAGAACGACCAGAGCAGTACCTGGAGCACATCTAGTATTTGAGACTTCATCCTTCCCTACCATTCCACAAATGCGATTGAAACCTTTCACAGACGCATGCCAGAATGTACGACGAGGCAGACAGCTACGTACAAGAGGGCTGACAGCAAAGATTCAGGGTCTTTAGCTGCTTCTCCCTTAAAGCTTCCCTGAAGAGGATATCAGTTCTGGGAAATTCATAGGAAGCAAAAGACAACACTGAAACAACCATCAGTGCTGCTGGAAAGCTATTGCTTCTGTGGAGCAGGCAGGCCCTGGGAGGGAGGCAGGGGAAGTGTCACAGGCAGCCTCAGGCACTAAAGTGATGCCAGTATGCAGGGTACCTCTTACTGTTTTACTGGTTATGGGACCTTCAGGGAAGGCTGTGACCCAGAACACATGGCTGCCTATCCAACCCAAAGCATTCTATGATTCTGTCCCTAACTTGCCTCAATCTTGCCCTAGCACTCCTGTCCCCTATGCCAGGCAGGCAGGTCCCAGTGATGCCACATAGCTCGTAGGAATGAGGAGCTGTTCCTGGTGTTGAGCCAAGTGAAAGCAGAAACTTTTTTCCCCCCTTTACCTACCACTGCTAGATTAAGACAGTTTTGAGATCAAAGAACCTGCAAATGACCTGACTGTATTGGACTGCTTTTGAAAAAACCTCTTAAACAGCATCTGACCTCCGAGCTCAGTAAGAGCCATTACACAGCCACAGTTCTTTGGCTTGTTCTGAGCCATGTCTTCCAGTCCAACCCTCTACTGTTGTAGTGTCACTAAGTGTTCCAAAATGCTTGATATAATCGCACGAGCGCATGCTTCAGCCGGCACACTCACCTGTTCTGCACTGGAAGCTATTCCTGCCCTCCTAAAAAGCCCCAGGGAGAAGATCCACACCTATGGCAGATCACAGCAGCCTGCAGGTGAATTGTGAAGATTCAGACTTCTACTGACAGAGGATAATGACAATGCAACTGCCCCAGCGGCTTAAAGGATATTGCTGGATTGAGGAGAAATACTGATCTATAGACTAAATATTACTAAATTCAGGAAAGCTTGGGAATCCCTCAGTCCTACACTGCAGGCATCACGGTTATCTTTAATCAGCTACCAGTTTACTGTTTTTCACTGGAGTCCTACCCAGTAAGCCTAGGACAAGCTGCAGAGACACAACGCGATGCAGGATGGTGCATTTAGACTGCCCAAGGCCACTCTATAGGTCAGAGGCAGCAAGCGGGGCAATGCAAAGAGTGAAGTATAACTTTTGCAGAGAGAGGATTATGCCAGAACCAGATAAAACTTCACTCGGAAAACAAAAGTTGACTGCTGTTTAAAATCCACTGTTAAGTCTTATTCTTGCGTGCAAAAGTGCAAGGCGCTGCAGCACAAGGCAGCAGAGCAGGTCACAAGCAAAGAAGCTGGAGCAGCTTTAAGAGCTGCAGCCTGAGCCAGTCACCAAGAACATGACCTGCAGCGATAGCTGCACTTCACCGTGGTAGAAATCCTTCAATAAGCCACAAAACAACGTACAGTCCCAACTGCAGAAGTGTAGACTGGCAACGAACACACTACACTCTCCAAACTGGCAAAATCTGCATTTAATTTACAACATAGTAAAGGTTACAGGTAAAAAGCTCAACAGAAAAAGTGTAAAGGCCTATTACATATTACACAAGTATACAAACTTCTGTACAAAGCCCCTAGATGTTATAGTGTCCCCTCCTGTATTGGCCAGCTATGGCCCCTAAGCTCTAAAATAATGAGAGCTTGTTCAAACCCAGGGAGGAGAAGAGCTTTAAAAAACAATGAGCAGTTAAGCTTCCCTTTTCAAGAAAAATCTTGCAAAGAGCCACTTGCAAAAAACCCCAAAACACACACACCCCCCCCCCAACGGAAAAAAAGGAAGAAAAAAAAAAACCACTTGTTCAGCTTTTACTTGCCCTAAATATTCTTACCCTAAAGAGTTGCCTTCATAAAGCAGACTGGCTGGAAAAAGAAAATTCTACATACCAGAAAGAAGCAAAACCAAAAATAAAGGGAGAAAGATTTTAAGACTCAGCATGGAGTGTTTGGAAGCAGAATGTCTGAGGACTGAATCATATTCAATAGCAACTAAACACAGAGCGGCACAACTGTGTCATGGAGAAGGTACTGTATTCATCCACATAATAGTTTGAGCGAGATATGATGGTGTGGGGAGGGGAAAAAACCAGTCTCTACAGCCTCTTGTAAATGGGGTAGCTACTAGCTTGTTTTCACCTCAATAACATGATAGAAGCAATTACTCTGCAGGCACAGAAGTCACCCTGATTTTGGAGCATCTGTCCAAAACAGGCCTAGTGCATATAGCACACCAGGTGCCCTGTAACACAGCACCACTCCAGCAGCCATCGGATTTTCACAGCTCTACTTAGCCATGTAGCTATGGTACCATACACGAGAAACAGCTGCGTATATGCTGTCATCTTAGTGCACATTTCCTGGAGAAATCCCCCAAATAACAAAGGAATGCGACTACATAGATGAACTGCATTATAGAATGCAAAAAAATCCAGAGTAAACCTAAGGAAAACAGAGCTCTGGCCTTACCTTGTATATATGTGAATCAGACTTTGAAATCTGAACCAGATGATTTGAAGGGCTAGAACAACAATCCCAATCAAGCTTCTCATTTTATTCAATGGGAAAAAGCGATGTAGTAAAAAAAAAAAGTAGTATTATGAAACCAACTTGTGCACTGCTTTATTCAAGGCAAGGCAGATTCTCTACTGAAAATTCATATTCTAGCTTTAAGTAGCACGCACTTCTCACCCACTGTTACTAGCAGCCAGAAGAGTGTGCAGATCGTGGGTTTAGTTGTTAAACATGCAAGTCCTCTGACACTGCTGATGGCTGCTCGTTTTCCTGTGTATCTTGCTGCATCTCGCATACACTCTAAGCTCACAAGTTCCATTTGCAAATAAAAATGAAACTATTTAAGTTAAAAGGGCCACCAAGTTTAGAAGACTGTCCTCCTCTGTGTTAACTCCACCCTCAGTTATCCCAGGGGAGAGAAGCAACACTACTTTGCTGTTTATTGTTTGTACAGCATAGATAGTGCCTATCCACCAGACACATGCTCCTAGGCTTGCCATGCTTGTATGCTGCCATTAGCACCAAGACAAGCTCAGATCCATCCAGGCATACACCCCTTTGTCCATCCATACAGCGCTCCATCATACAACACCGCACCACAGCTAATGAAGCCTGCCTATTTCTTGTCCCTCTCAACTCCACATTCTCATAAACCTAATCGGATGCTGTAGTGTTTTAAGTGGAAATTAAGACAAGCTGTAGCCAAACAAAATGAAACAATAGTGCCCCACATTGGTGGGGTTTTGAAAATGTAAAAAAATAAAAGCTGACCGATATTTTGCAAGTTTTAGAACTCATACCAATGGGATTTCTGAAAGGCTTGGCCCCACAAGTATGTACTTCTAATACACCTGACCTGCTACAAGCAAGTCCAGCAGGAACAACAGTACTCATAGTAAGCACGACACCTAAATACACGATTTTGCAGGGTCACGCTATAATGATAGTTCAATTTTATGACTCTGCCCCTTCAACTTATGGATCAAAATTCAGAGTAAAGACCTCTGGGGACAGTAATGGCTAAGAAAAGGCTGCCAGGTATTTTGGTTCAAAAGGAGATGGGAACTGTATTTCTTTTTTTCTTTTAAAGAGACATATAAAAATGTTTGAAGACAGATCTTTAAAGGATATTTCACTTCTCCAATCTTGGTATTACACCTGGTTAGGACATTGAGATTTTAAAAAGACGATACTGCACATAAACAGTTTCTGGAGTTCGTAACTCCCACTTTGTTTCAACAAAACCCAACTCAGATCAGTAGGGAAGGGGTTGGCTTCTTGCCTGGCCATGCCTCCTTTGCATATTTTTTCTTCTTGGGTTCATTCACAGCTTCAGGATTAAAGACAGCAGGGTTTGGAGCTGGGTTCATGTTAACTGTTGAGGGCACCACAGGAGTTAAGTCCACATCTGGGGCAAGATTGGGGTAGGGCATTGGCAGACCACCAATGAGTGCTGTCCCATGGACGCCATGCGATTGGGAACCTGCTTTTTGCAGAATCATCTGTGGTCAATGAGCCTGGATTCTCCAACCGTTTTTTCTGTAGACAGAAGTATTTAAGGAATTATTCAAAATACATGAAACAAGCAAGCTATTTAAACAGGATGCCACTGTCATTTTCCCCAAAAAGGCACCTAGACCAGCCACATATAAAGTGGTTACAGACCATGTCCCAGTCTTTGTCCCAGAAGATTTCTTCTGGGTTTCCTTGAAAACCAGTTAATAATAAACTCTTCAAGGTGCACAGTGCAGGAAGGGGTGACAGAACTTGAAGCCAAGTTTAACTTAGATCAGGTCTGAGCACCTCTTTACCTCCTGTACATCCTTGCCAGTCTTGAGCAAAGACTGAACGCAAACCCGAGTAGGTCCTTAGTGAGTAACACAGACCATCCTTCACCCCACAGTAAGAAACTGCAACTTGTCGATCACTTGAGTGATTTTGTGTGGCTCTTGATTGTTTGAATCTTCTCCTGCAGTCTGGGTCTTATGTAGAATTATCCTCGTCCACATACATTATTTAGTGTATACAAGCAACAAGCAAACTTGCTATTACACTGTTGCTTAGCTACCCTGAAGTTTTGCAAAACTTCCCTACTCCTAGCATAGTCAAATTAAATATAGCACTGGCAACACACTCATCCTGGAGCGAAGTCTAAATGCTGCTAGTTCTAGTAGATGACCCTATGAAATCTTTAGCACTTACAGTATTTAAACAAACAACCTCTTATTTTTACTTTTTATTTTCCACACTTCCCACAATTTTAACTGATGCCTAGAACTACCATACTGAATTTCTGGAAAGTGTTTCTTTTCGGGAGAAAATAATTTGTCACTGATCCCGTATGTTATTAAAGAAAAGAGCTAAAGCTGGATTTGAAGGGAAATGGTAAAATCTGCTAAAAAAATACAATTGTGAAACATGAACATGAATTTTGCTTAACAATAAAACACTTTCCACCATAGAACATTATGTTTCTAAGGTGAAATTCATAAGGTGAGTTCATCAGTGTAATGTATTAATTAGAAAGTTGGGAGTTACTCTGTACCTTAACAGGAACTACTGCTGTCTGTACCATATTCCTGAAACGCCCAACAGAAGGGTCCACATCCTCTGTAAAGGGAAGAACAGTGAAACTTTCAGTAAAAATACAGGAAAAGATGGAACATCTGTCAGGTAAAGGAACCTATATGAAGAAGTGGTACATGAACCTTCTGTTCTCAAAGCCAGCACTTGAGTAGCTCTGAGTAAGCACAAGCATGCCCAAAGAGAGGAGCTCAGGGGACACCTAGTGGCTTTGCTTCAAGGCGGGCTCATCAGTCTGGTAAGAAAAGCTTCCACTCAAATGGAGGATGGGGACAGACAGATTGCCAGTTTGCACTGACCAGACAGACTGGAGTTCTGGGCTGAAAGCTGCTGCTGCCAAGGTGCTGCACGTGCTCAAAGGCAAAACAGCTAGCCCCAGAAGTCTTTGGGATTAATTTAGAACTGGAAGAAGGAGTCCAAAGAGTTCAACTTAGAGTCTCTGAATGTCTGAAAAAGAGAACCTTTTTTGTAATGCGAATGACTGCTGTTTACGTTAGGACGTTCCGAGCACTAAATCTCACAACCTTATAAATCAAAATGGTTATTCTGGGTGGTATACGCTGCCAAATGAAACTATCTCCAGACTATATTTTCAAATGCATACCCATTAATAAGCTATTCTTATTAATAGGATTATCCATATAAAGTATCATTAACAGGAGTGCCATTAATATAAAACAGCTAAGGGAGAAAAAAGACTAATTAGGAATTGGATACATCTTTGGAAGCATCATTTGAATGAGAATGACTTGTTTCAGGTACGCAGACAAGTAGCAAAAAAAACCTTCTGAACGTGAGACAAATATCCTTTAGGCAACAGGTGAGGAAAGCATTAAGGGACAGATGAAAAACAAACAAGTTCAGTTCCCATTTAGATTCTAAAGGTGGCAAAAAATTAAAACACTTTCCTCCTTTTGCACCCTAAAAATCTTTCCAACATCTGACAGAATTTTGAAGAATGAAGCTGAGTGTGATGTCCTGGTCCTGCACAAATCATGCAGTTATTTCACAGGTAGAAAGCAAGAAACAGAGAGAGGTCAAAGACATAAGTGAGACATGTGGCAGGTTCTCTGAAATAGCAGATCCCAAATATTGTCTGCCAAATTTCTGTTCTCCTTATCCATATGCAGCCATGAGGAATCCTTATGAGAATACTGGAAAAAGGGCCTTAAAGGTATCAAATAAACATTAAAGCAAACTACTTACCCGGATTGATGATTTCGTCGTCGTCACTGAATGTCACTCTGGAGTTCTTCCGTTTTCTCTTTGGTCTCTGAATATCCAAGTTCCCCTCCTCAATGGTTAGTGTGGAAATTCTTTTGTTGTGGGCTGTATTAAACTCTGTCAGGTTCTAATGACAAATTTGGAGACAAAATAGTTTAAGCAACTAGTGTATGAAGTCTGATTTAATCATGTGATTATGCCTATCAAAAGACCACGGCACACTGTTTAGCTTCAACTTTAGACCCCCAGGAAGAAAGAGTGCTCCAGTGCTGCAACAGGTAGCCCAGAAAGGCTGTGGAGTCTCTTGTCTGCAGAGGTATTCAGAACTTGACTGAGCATGATCCTGGGCAACCCGCTCTAGCTGACCCTGCTTGAGCAGGGGGGCTGGACTAGATGATCCCAACAGGTCCTTTCAACTTCAACAATCCTGTGAATGCCACACACACTGCTTTCTCCCTCTTCAGTAGCTAACTGTAGGAAACAGGGCAGCATTCACTCTTATCTGGCAATGGGAAACTGTGAGAAATCACCCCGACCTAGGGTAACATTAGTTGGAGAGCACATACTCCCTGGCAAGCCTTTGCGAGAAGGCTGTTGGAATAGTCGGATTATTAGGTCACTGATTCTGGGAAGCAGCGTGATCACAGGCTTATCATGGTAGAACGAGATGGCTTGTGCATATCTGCCAGCAGAAGACACCTCAGACTATTTTCAAGGCCAAGAAATTAAGAACCTGAACCTAAGCAAACAAGTGGAGAATGCTATCCGTTTACCTGGAAATGCTAGGTACAATGTGCCATCATACTCACGTCAAGTTCTGTCTCTTCCTCTGGCAGGCCCAGCAAGCCCTTGAGCTCTTCATCTTCACCACCCATTTTCTCATCTCCTTTAACTGCTGATGGCAGTGTCTGAGGCTTCTCTCGCAGAGTATATGCCCGTGTAGAAGCACCGAATGAAACTGTGGAGTCAATGGGTATCTGTTGGGGTTTGTGAGGTTCCAAACGGATATGACCCAAGAATGTGCCATGTGCTGAGAACATCAAAATGCAAAATAGCCTGTTAGTCATCAGCTTGGGCTCACAGTATTCGCGTTCAAGTCCTGAGAAATTCAGAGACTGTAGATGGTTGCTCTGGGATACAAGTCACTGAGGTACTGCTGATAACATTAGCTACGCACATTTTACCTCCCATCTCACAAACTAAGATAACACACACCAGAAGTCCTCAAAAAGTCATGGAAATAAATGACAAACATCATTTACTTTCTGGATTCTTGTAGGTCCCAACGTACCATGTCTGGAGTAATTTCTTCAGTGGAAAAAACTGTATGTCAGGTTTTAGATCTTGGGAAACCACCCTCAGAAGAGAAAGCTTCATTAAAATTGTGAAGGGAAGGCCAAGTCACTTTCCTCCTCTCCCTTAGTCTCTTAAGAGTCCAGAAACGTTTTGAACACCAAGTGAAGCAGATGTAAGCTGACTGGAACAAACACTCCTTTGCTCCTAACCCTTGCCAATCTTTCACTAGGATGCTAATTCAGATTATAGCCATCTATCCACACAGTGCAAAAAACACCACCACCACCACATGAAAAAGCATCTCAGGTTCAGAAATGTTGAAGCACTGAAATATCGTATTTCTCTCTGGTTAAATGTCACACTACTTACTGCTGTTTAGATCTATGAGGAAAACCCTCTTGAGATGTTTGTGATAGACCAAGGCAGCATGGACCCGAGAACAAGACTGGTGGTCAATGGTAAAATCGCACAGATCAGGATTTCTCCCAAAGAGATAGTATTTCTTCTCATCAATGATGAGTTTCTGAGGTAGAATATCAAACAGAGAAGCATATTAGACTCCTATAATCTTTTGGATCTTCCTGAAAAAATTCAAGAACATGAATAAACAGAGCAAATTCAAAACAAAGCATCAACATCTAATAAATATTTCCGTTTTGTCTGACACTGTTCAATACAGAAACTCAAAACTTCTTTTTTTTAAATGAGAACAGCTGAATATGGAAGAGTCCCAGTTATTCCCTTCTTTAACAGCTAAGGCAAAACAGCCTGGGAAGAACAATAACGCTTCAAAGCATGAGACTGTGTCATACAAGAGATTCTCTCTCACATCTGCTCCCAATGATTTTTTACACATTCCTCGAGGCAGATCACTTTGTGCCTGGTCTAAGCCAGGAACCTATGCTAAATGATCTCAAATCCAATCCAGAGCATCAGAATTATATTTGTGTATAGAAATGGACATACAGGAGATTTCAGACCTTTATAATAAAGATGTAAAACCATACTGAATATGTACTGTGACATGAATCCGTGTTAGTCTAGTCAAGTAAGCCACTCATTTTTGGCATTTCTTTTTAATTCACCCTAGTTCTAATCTCTTCTTCAAACAATATTTTACATACTGTAATATCAGTTACAAACCATCTCTGAAAAGCAAAGGAACATGTTGACACAGTCCTACAGTGTACACAGCATATTTCTATTAACAGGCAATGTTGTTGAAAGGAACTCCTTGCACCTAAGCAGTGCAGCCTTCTTTCTCACTGTATCCCAAGATCTTAATCTAACCTGTGTTTTCTTGCTTCCAGCTGCACAAGTCAAAGGCTGGCGATTACAGATTTGTTAACAGATGGCTTCTCCTGCTTTTTGAAACATTTACCAAAGCCCACACAATGTTTCAATAGCATGATCAAGGGAATGCTGATGATACATTTTCCATCAGAAAAAAAACCAGATCTTAGTTCAGGAAAGCATTGCTTTCATGAGATGGCATGCTAGACCATGAGCGTATCTGCCCTCTCCCTCATTCTATTCCCCGCTACACAGTCCTCTCCTCAATTGCACTGTCACACATCTGAGCAAAGTTTCCAGCTTGCAAAGCACTTTTTTGCTGTGTTAGTCTCCTGCTGTTTTAGTGGACTGAATCAGTTTGCCTTCAGTCAGATGCACACCCCAGCTGGCTCTAGTGAAGCAGTGGAATACATGCATGGGGACCATGTGATGATGAAGGCCAGCAGCATTCATGTCCATCAATTGTTTGCTCCTCACTTTTGCCAGCTGTACAAACCACATGCTCAGCCAGAAGGAGCTAATGTATCTGCCTAGTTACAAGTAGCTGGCTCAGGTGTTTCTGAGGCATCAGAAAGACTGACACAACGAGCACCTGGAGAGTTACTTACCCTGTGGCAGTGCGAAGTCATACAGAAAATAAGGAGACAGCTTGGAATAAGACTTAGTATTTATATTGCTCTGCCTTACCTGCAAGCATAAAAATCACACAGACCTAATTTTCTACTACAGATCACTTTGCAAAGTTACATCTGTTTACCTGCCCACCAATTATGGACTTTAAGGCTTTCAGCAACTGCTGCATTCAGTTGTCACTTCCCCACTGATTTGTTTTTTTTTTTTATTTTCTTCCCCAGATGTGTTCTACATTTTCTAGGCTGGATTTCTCATTGTTCTGCTGAACATTTGTCAGCCCCCATACTGCAAGTTCTCATAATCTGGTATTCAGTAATAAGTATTTATTTCTGTATGTTTATTCTCTCTTTTAGGTCACTAGAAGAATTAATTGAACAACTCTACTCCATTACTAGTATACATCAGGATGACTTTAAAATTAATTGGTCCCTTAGGTAATAATCTGCTAAAGTCTTACTCCCAACTAACTCGAGGTATACATTTGAAGCATGATTTCATGAGAGTTAATGCTTTGTGAAATCTACTGACTTACATATTTTGGCCTGCTTTCTTAAAATAACAAGATTTAGGTGATCAAGCTGTGTGCATATCCATCAGCTCCCGATGCCCACTACTGAACCAAGTAACTACTCAACCAACTGGCCAGTTTCAACCAGCACTAAAGATACTAAATTTCAAGAAGTTCTGGGAAAACAAACAGACAGAATGACAACTTCATCAGTACTCTCAGTGATACACAGGCTGGCAGAAAATACACAAAAGCGCCAATACTTAGACTTTAAAAAAACCCAACCCTTCTTTGTGAGTCCACGTCTCATTTGATAAGACAGGAATCACAGCTTAATTAGCAATTCAGCTTCAAGTACATTATCTGGTGACAAATGAGGTGCAATGCAAAATGCAAGTGATTTTCCTCCAGCTGGGACATTTAAAAGATGCAGGTGTCTCCTCTGAATCAGCTTCTGTCTGGTGGGCAATAGTGTACCTCAAAGCCTCAGTACAATTCAGACAAAAAAACTGAGAAAACAATATACTGAAAGAGTCTACTGGATTCTGCTCTTACCTGGTTACTTTATCATCACTTTCTGTCTCTTTACAGATACTGGTTTTCACAAGACCCTCCCCTCAGAATTAACCAGAAAGTATAAGCCACTGATAAAGAGCTTAAACTAGTACATGTTTTCCTCAGTCCTTTCTGGTTGAATATTATTTTACTTTTTTTTTTTAATTCCACCCGTAAATCAATCGCCTCCCTGTACATTCTTCACGCTAGCCTACTTGTGTTACGCTTTCCCCTGCAAGCCTTAATCAACACCTACCATCCCATTAGTCTTGCCAATATTTTCCCTTAAGATTACAGTTGTTTCATCTAACTATTGGTCTGTAAATACCAGTGTTTGTTACAATGCATCCTTTTGAGAAATGCTAGGTAGGTTTTCTGGGGACTCAACTTCACAGCAATGGATTTATGTCCAATATTACACAGCACCTTACTCATTCAGTTCAGCACTCTGAGTCTTCCCAAATTCAATACCTTTGTACTAATGAATTCTACAATTCCACTTTGCAAGAAAGACCAGCACTAACTTTTCCTTTTATTCTTGCGTATTTGAAAAAAAATCCTGTGTAAACACAACTCTGATACAAACAAGTGGATCTTCAGAAGCCAACTCACTGCTCCACATTTCAGTGCCCGGCTCCACAAGCAGTTTTCTCACCATTTCAAGCACCATAAAAACCAGTCCAACAATTTCTCATTCTTGTCCACAACTGAAACCAAAATAAGCGTCCCGGGAGTTTTCACTTGTACCCATTACACACAAAACTATACCATTCTGACTCAATAGCTTTTCAAGAGATTTTGCAATGATACAAATGAGTTAATAAATTGGAAATATTGCAATAAATCATCAGAGAAAATAATTTTATTGCCTTTACTTCAAGATAGCATTTCCAAAATTTTCTGTGCCTCTGAGTTATAACCCAGTGTTATCCTTCATACACTGAGCTTAAACACTTCATGGCTTGCTTTAATGTTGCACTTTTCAGACCCAGCAATCACAAGGCATACCTCAGGCCTCTGAACAAGACCTGGGATACAGATGGCTCGGTTAGTACCAAGTGCTCGGTAATCCACAAGGTTTAAGAATGTTCCTTCTTGGTTACTGCTGTCTACCACAAGACACAAAACTGAAAAACTATTTGCCATATGTACCAAAAAGGGAAACTGATGGATCGCATTCAAATGCTGTTAATTTGTTGCACAGTTCCCATACATACACGCAGTACATTGTCTTGTGTATCCACCACAGCCCAGAGGACCTCAGTCATCACTGCCTGCAGAGTGCAAGGCCACAGAGCAACCATACACGCAGGTGTGCGTGCTACACAGAACGGTCTGCTAAAGCTCTTTGGATTCTCACTTCAGCAGACAGAAGCACGATAGCGAGCCAGACCTCTCTGGCTACACATGTGGGTGCCAGCGCCTGCTCACCACTTGCCACAGCATTCAGCACACATACTACACACTGAATGGCAGGCAAGCTGCACCTCACTCATCTCAGTAACACTGACAGGCAACATCAGATATTCAGGATGTGAAACACAAACTCTACAGTCATTCTGTGACCTCTGTGGGACCACATTCTCTACTGAACCTCAGAATATTTTGATAGCAGACTAGCAATGGCTGTTAGTGCTCTGTACGACAGCAAAAAGAACCTCTTTTAGGTTATCAGAAGAGTTGATGGTAGGAAGAGGGAATCGGGATGTTTGTACCACCCACTTTCCCAATGCAGACAGAGACCCCAGGCTCACAAAGCCAGCTTGGGCCTCTGGTAGGTCCAAAAGCTTTGGGCAGCACAGCCTCAGAGTCTGACACCACCAGGACGGTATTCCTGACTGCCAATTTATCAACACCAGATTTGTTCATTCATTGCCAAGACAAATGGCGCATCCTCAGCTTTCACAGGGCATTTTGCTGGTTTTTTTTTCAGTCCTGACCAGGACTCCCATGATAAACATTTGCCTACCACCCAAGGATTAATTCAGCAGAGAGCTCCATAAAAACTCCTTTATCCTAAAGCTCAAAAATACAAAAGAAACATGACAAGAAAAAACTCATCTCATAGAATAAGTCTCCTAGCTGGGAAGGCTGCATTATGTTGGGCCACCTGCCACATACCAAGAAACCCAAAGTCACTGCCATTTGGCTTTGCTCACTGAATCTCATTACATGGCCTGGAAGCAATACTGGAAAACCCAGTGCCAAGTGCAATCCTTACCCCAGATGCTGCTGCTAGGATGGCAGTGAGAAGGCTGAGCTGAGCAGCAGTCCTTCCACAGCTCTTTGGTCTCCAAAACTGATTCTAACATGTAACAATACCATGAGAGGCAGAATATATGGTCCACTGTTTGAAGACAAATGCAATGCAAAGGGTTTGAAAGCTACAGTGCTCAGAAAGAGACAGTGAAGGATTGCTCCAACGCAGTCTGAGCAGCGGTTATGAACCAATTCAGCCACATCTTATATGAACTAATGAGCTACTTCAAAGGTGCAGTAAATGTGTGTTAGTATCCAATTCCTTTCAAATTAAGGTGGAGCAAAGATTTCTTTTAGGTCGAGGCTGGCTGTGCAAATTTTCTGTGTCTTTAAATCCAGAGTAAGAGCACACTCTCAAAACAATCTGTAAAACCAACAGTAACGGACTATCAAGAAAAGCCTCATTTTACTGGTTTCTGGCCTGGGAAGACACAAGTTTATTTGTGAGATACCTGTTTGTGACATCTCCCTCTGCTTTCCTACTCAAAGCATATTCTGGCAACTTAACCAAGTTCTAAACAGTAAATCACTCCTGCTAGACACAAAAGGCACACTTAATACTATCTGATGCTCCTGTGGTAGCATATCTTAAAAACCAGCCAAGATTTTAAGCTACCTAAATCCTTCTGGATCTAACACTGAGTTCTTAATTTTCCAAGTTTCTGTTCAGAAAAGTCGGCTGAACTTTGCAAACTTCTGCTTCCCAGAAACATTTCTCTGTTTCAGCGAACTGCAAGTTAAGAGTCTCTCCACAGCTAAAATACATTCACTGGCTTGGGTCCTCTCCATCAACCATGTCAGAGCCCTTTTTTTTTATTTATTACTTTCAGTGTGATGCAAGACAAAAACGAAAGAGAATGAGGTGGCATATATCAGACAAATTCCTTTGCTGTAATAAAAATAATTCATTGTGTCCATGCTAATCACAACACTGCTTGCAGATCCAGAACATGGGATGAAAAAAATCATACTGTACTTCATACTGTAGGACAGGGCAACAATCTTGTAAAATACAGGATGCCTAGTTAACCTTACTGTAGAACAAAATAAAAAATAAACTGACCAGACAAATATCTGAAAAAAGCAGTACAAAGTGAAGAGTTTTTACCCTTAGTCCTTTGTATTTGAGATTTCCTTCCCCATGTTATTTGAGTTTCTGCTCCTGAAGCTCCTAAGACAAGGTGTCTTCTGGCTGCAGTCCAATACCTCCTACAGAAGTATCTTGTAGGGAACAAGATGTCAACTTCGGTCCAAAATTAAGTTTGGAAGAAATAAGGCTCTCCAAAATACTGAGTTTCCCTTACAAACATTTTATTTTTTATCTTACTAGGACAGGTTTAATGTTCAGGAATCAAAGTGCCATTGCTTATTAGCTGAGCAGCGCAGTTTTGTATCCCTTCAAACAGTGCATCTAATTGGAAGATAACCAATGGAAGCACTGCATAGTATGAGACAGCCTTAGAGTACAGGTGGGGGAAAATTCACTTCATTCTGAAGTTTCAGAGTAAAACAACCTGATTTGAAAATAATGAATGTGAGAGAGAAAGGAAATACTTATAAGTAAGTGTGGAAAATGCTGCGAAACACTCTGCTGCTGGTGCCTATGTACATGATACACCAAATACATACGAAACCTATTTTCATACCTCAATGAGTTTGTCTCCTTTGACTACATCCAGATGTAAGCCAGGTGGTGGTTTCCCTGCCCTGGAAAATAAAGAAAGGAAAATATAGTATCAGAACACTTAATAAAAAGTTTATTAGTGTTAGAGCTAATACTCTATTAGAGCTACAGATCAAACCTACACAAATGTAAGCAGAATTACTTTGGGGAAAATATGAAAATCTCCTAATTTTCTTTTCCTCCCTGCAGATACCTTCTGACAACACATAAACCATTATTTTTTTACAACAATAGTTAAACTAACGGGACACGAGGCATTGCAAGCTTTACTTCTCTTAGTGAAAAATAGCTAATTTACAAAATGAACAGAGCAGCTCCTAAGAGAACATGCTATGAGGCCAGGAAGAGGCTAACAACTGGAGGAGGCTGGGACTGTTTGCTTAAGGGCCTGCTCATGGGCTGTTTTCCCATTTTACCTTCAAAACAGTAGATCTCTACCCTTAGCCACTGAGAAGAATGGAAACTTCTACCATCCTTCTCCTCTAGGACTGGTAATGGCAAAAACTTTAAAGGGGCTCCACACACACCTGTAATATTATCAAAATGTTGGCCAATAGCCAGTGTTCCTCCACTCGCCCTATAATCAAACTTTCCTACCAACACAGACAACCTGGAAGATGCTACAGTATTAGATGGCAGAGGGACCCCTACCCTGTGACAGTACAATCCTTCTCCACCAAATTCTCAAACAAGCTCAGCTCTCCCAGCCCTATAGCTCCATCCCTGCTCACCTCCTGTGAAGCAGATTCACCAGACAGACAGCACTGTTCCCACTTGGGCAAATGGAGCACGTGGGACTCGTCAGTGCACAGCAAAACAATGCTAATATGTGGGAGAACCCATGAGGATTAGCAGCATCAAAAACATATTTGGTACTTACAGTGCTCAAAACCAGGACACCACCATGATACCAACCCTTCACTACATAGGATGTAGGGACTGTTGACAGCAAACGATCTTTTTCTGCTCCGATCTCTAAAAATCTGCATCTCTAGTACTTCTTCACTGATAATAGCACTGCCGCTTGTCTCTGGACCAATTTTCTTGTTGGCTGGACCAACTTTCTAGGCAATAGCAGTGACCCAGTTCTCAGCTACACTGCTGCCCTTCTGAAGAACCACCGCAGAGGAGATCACATTCCCATTTACTGCGTTGCTCACTGCACAGAGCAAGCCAAGACAACAGTGACAATGGGTAGCGACATTCTCAGCATGGCTGGAAGAGAAAGGTCACTTGTAACTGAAGTTGTTTGCGGGGGTTAAATATAGATGTCCACGTTTCTGGGACGTGCCTTGTAATTTGAAGGTTTCTTCTAGGTCCCCAGGTCATCTGGTTACTATACTCATGCTCCCCCACATAACTTCATAGAATAACATGGTCCTCTATGATTTCTACCTCATTTCTTTCTCAAATACTGCACAAGCATTTTCCATTCTTGCTCCAAATGCATTTTACTATTCCACTCAGATCTCTCTCTGGCCCTTCCTGAACATGCCAGTTGGGACTTTCACAAGTGTTCTTACCAAGCCCTTCTCTAAGACTGTGGACAGTACCATCCTAACAAAATAAGATGGCCGATATTAATTCTTATTCTTTCAGATGAACAAACAGCAGCAGCAAAAGCAAAGCTTCAGGGCAATCTGCTACAATGGTGACTGCTTCCTAGAAACAGGCTTATGGTGGTGTGGAGGAAAGACCAGCAGGTAAAAATGCTCCCAAAGAAGATGCACAGTCCGGCTGATGAGTTCTGCAAGGACTTACCCTTCCAGTCACTCCAGTATAGCCAGGGAACTGACTCCTCTTACGCACTGCTCTAGGATCACACAGCCAGGCTACACCCCAGTATTGCTGTCTCCTCCTGTGCTCCCCTCACATCTCAGCTCTCATTTTTCATTGACAGACAGGTTCATTCATGGATTCATGTCCACTTCTCAGCGTTTCCTCTTTCTGCCCGTGAGCACTGGCAAACTTGTTTTTCTCCATTCCACTAAAATCACCAAGTTCTAGTTACACTGCGACACAACTTTTGATAATTTTCACAAAGCCTGCCTTACTTTGATCAAACAAAAGCTGCTTCCCCCCCCCCCCCCCCCTTTTTTTTTCCTTCCAAACAGGTAAGCCTTTCAACAAATTAACTCTACAAGCAAGTCTACTTTCTGGCCTCTGCTTTTCTTTCCAGTGATCTCTTCCTGGATACTCAATGGTCAGTCTGTCCTAAAAACATTTTAGCAACATCCTCAACATACCTGTTAGGTCACGGGAAGGCTTCCAAGTGCTCTAGCACAACCACTTTCCTCTTCTGTAAACTGAATCCTGTCTGATGGTCACCTTTTGCCATATACAATCTCTGATTTTTCATTACCCTCTCTACTTTTAGTTTCACCCTTGCTGTTACTTTACTCTACTTTTATCTTCAACTTTATTCTGAACACAGAAAAAAAGCCCAGCAGCAGCTCAAGACATTGCCTTCATCTATGAATTAAGGTGCTTGAAAATCTCACCTATTCTCTGGCATCTTTTGGACGGAGAATCCTTTGTAGGCAGTATTTCCCCTACCTACCTATGCCTGCAAAACACTGAACACAGTAAGGCTGTAAATATTCATTATAATGCCATCAAAACAAAACTCACAGAAATTTCTTGTCTCTTTGGAACAAACTAAATCAATGTCACAGCTTAGGCTGCTGAAGTTAGATACTTGAGAAGTCTTTTAATGACAAAAAGTAGACAGATGTTCCAGTTCTATATGGAAAGCTAATGAGTTCCAGAGTCACCAAAGATCAGAAGTAACGGCTGTATTTGGAAGCGTCAGCAACCCCTCACACACTCTGTCCTATCCGACCCCGCACCTCATGCATCAAGGAAGTAAAACATTGAAAGGAAATCTCTTGCAAAAATCTACTAGAGGAAAGTTTGTTAGGAAGTTGGTACTGTGCTGTTAGAGGAGAGCAGGTTTTTCCCTCTTATTTCCAATACTGAAAAAAAAAAGTCCTCTCCCACTAACTAATGTGCTAAAATATCCACTAAACTGATTTTCCTACACTGTTCTGAAGGGTGGAGAATTACTTGGGGTCAACAGACTCTCCTCTCCATGGAACAGATACAGACAGCCAAGCTTAGCACTGCTCCAGGACAAATGATCTCACATCAAAACTTGGCTCTGGCACAAGTACTTGCCTTTTCAAGAGAGAAACAAGAAGCTGTTCTGTACCTTCCAGATTGCGTATCATAGTCCCCACTGCCTGAACGTCTTCTGCTCTCTACAGGTCAACATTCTGCAAGTGACCTTAAAATAAGACTTGCAAATGGACTAATTGTTAATGATCACTAACTCAGTATGCTTAACTGAGGCAAACTATGATTAGACTGCCTACTGAATGGCCTAAGGCTTACTTGGGAAAAAAGAAGCCTTGCAGAGAATTAACAAGGCTGACTGGCAAGGAGAACATGACCACAACAGTATTATTAAATGACTTCTCTGGATCAGACAAGGGGTGAGAGGACATCCCACACAAGAGCTTTTCTTCGCTAAGAATGAATCCAAGGAACACAAAGAAGTGCCAGAATGAGAAAGTTTATGAGAATTGATAAAAAGAAGTAACAAACTGCAAAACTCAGATGGTATTTAGCCAAGCATTCTAAGAGATACCAAATATCAGTTTTCTACACTTAACAGTTTAGCAATCTACTGCTTAAACTACCCTCACTGTCAGAGAAATGAAAGTATCAACTGATGATGCTAATTTAAAAGCATATTTCAGGAGTGATGTGGAAACTGCATAAAGTCAAGTTCTGACTGGGAAACCGGTAGAATAGAGTATTTCAGTTGGAAGGGACCTGAAATGATCATCCTGTCCAACTGCCTAACCACAAGCTAAAGCTTGTTATTAAGGGCATTGTCCAAATGCCTCTTAAACATCAACAGGCCTGGGGCATTGACCACCTCTCTAGGAAGCCTGTTCCAGTGTTTTATCACCCTCCCAGTAAAGAAAAGCTCCCTAATGTCCAGTCTAAGCGTCCTCTGGCACAGCTTTGAGCCATTCCCACACACCCTATCACCGGGTCCCAGGGAGACAAGATCAGCACCTCCCTCTCCACCTCCCCTCCCGAGGAAGCTGTGGAAACTATTAGTGAGCAGAACTAGCAGCCACAGTAACAGCCAGACTAGCCCGGAGCCATCTAACCTGTGCTTCAATACTCAACACTACTTATCCTTTGGAAATGTGATGATATGTGGGGCATGACAGTTCTTCCAATGACAGCGAAACATTTTTCTTGGATTAAAGAAGGATAAACCTTGCTTTGAATTACACATTATCTGCTCCTTTCAGCCTTTGTAAGAATGCCAAGATGACAACGACCATGCTGAAAGAATGTCTTGTTTGACAGAATACAACCAAGCATTGAAAAAGTTTCTGTTCTACTTCAGATGAGTTCAGTGTCCAGGGAAAGGAGTTAATGTGGTATCTGGATAAAACTGATGTTTATTAGCCAAATCAGTTGACTTCTTGCAAAAGAAAGTGGGCATATCCATGGATGATGAGAAGTGAGTAGGGAATTGAGACCGCTGTTCACTACCTGCACAATGGATGGGGAGTTACAAAATGGACTGTTTTCATACTCAAAACATTCCTAAAGGATTTGGGTTTTGAGTGGTTTTCATGTGTTTTGGTTTTGGTTTTTTTTTATTGCAAGGTGAACTTTCCTTACAACGATACTCCTCCAAACTTGTACACAAGATACGTACTATTTACACAGTGGTACAAAAATACCATATTCACATTCCTTTAGACCATTTCTCTTGTAAAATGAGAGCCCTATTTAATCCAGAGAGTAGTGCTGCTTCTGTATGAGTTCCAAGAACCCTACTATCTTTCACATTCCTGTAGAATTGTATCAGGCTGATCAAACTGACAAACCCAGAGTAAGGAACCTTTTGCAAAATAAGAACTACCTCCAGTAACCAGTTATCAGGTGCCTCACACAGTAATACTCTCCCAGTTTCCAACAGTTACCAACTCAA